TTAGGTAAAAACAGTTTATTTGTTTTAGATTGTGATATTTTTTAATATAAAAAATAATTTAATATATTTAGTTATTAGTTTATCATTTACATTTTATTTAATTTTTAGTTCTCTTTATATATATTTTACTTTATTTGTTAATTTTCACTCATATTTTAATTTTAAACTTTTGCATTGATTGTTAATTTTTGTTTATTTAATAATCTATTTATTTCTTATTATTTCATTTTTTATTGATCCTTTCATTCTATTTACCTTGTTAATACAATAGTTTTTTTCAAAATTTAAAAAGTCTCAATTAAATTGGCGACGAAGGCGCATCAGGCTTAGGTTCTGCTTTAGCAAAATGCACTAATCTCTTAAACTTGGAACTTTTTCTTAGGTAAATTCATATATTTGTTTTGTTTACTAAAAATTAATTCAAAACAAAAAAATAATTTTTTATTTATTTATTTATTAGTTAGTTTGTTTTTTATTTGATTTATTTTTATTTTTTTTACTCATTTTTTCACTTTCAACTTATGTTTTTATTATTAATTAACTAAATGATGCCTTTGTATTTTATTTTATTTTTCAATTTTTTATTCTAAATAAGAAATTAATTAATTATTTATAATATTTAAAAAGTTTTAATTAAATTGGTGCAATTGGTGCATCAGGCTTAGGTTCTGCTTTAGCAAAATGCACTAATCTCTTAAACTTGGAACTTTTTCTTAGGTAAATTCATATATTTGTTTTGTTTACTAAAAATTAATTCAAAACAAAAAAATAATTTTTTATTTATTTATTTATTAGTTAGTTTGTTTTTTATTTGATTTATTTTTATTTTTTTTACTCATTTTTTCACTTTCAACTTATGTTTTTATTATTAATTAACTAAATGATGCCTTTGTATTTTATTTTATTTTTCAATTTTTTATTCTAAATAAGAAATTAATTAATTATTTATAATATTTAAAAAGTTTTAATTAAATTGGTGCAATTGGTGCATCAAGTTTAGGTTTTTCTTTAAAAAACTGCACTAAACTCTCAAATTTGACACTCCATCTCATGTAAAAACAATTTATTTATTTTAGATTGCGATATTTTGAATATAAAAGTGAATTTAAAACAATAAAACTCTTTTAATTAATTTACTTTTTTATTAATTTATTAGCTTTTTATTTAAATTTTTGTCTTTTTTATTCAGTTTTTATTTTTTAGCACTAATTTAAAATATATTTTTATTTCACATTTTATTTTAGTAAATTTTGAATAATTTACCTCATTTATATTAAAAGCAATAACTAAATTGAACAGTTAGAATAATTGAAAATAAAGAGAAAATGTCTTAAATCAAAAAGATTAGTTACCTTTGAAATACATTTCTATAAATGGTGGTGAAATAAGGAATAATAAATATAAAAATGTTTGATTAATAATATATTTTATAATTCAATAATTTAACCAAATTAAAGTTATATTTATCATTATTTTTATATTTTATAAATAAATATCTATCAACATTTGGTCATAAATAAATAAATAACTTATCAAGTTAAATAAAAATTTTATTTTTTTAAATTAAGTAATTAATTCCTCTAAAATAACTGAAATGTAAAGCTTTTATATCATATATTATATTTATTTTTTAAATGTATTAATCATGAATATTAATTAATGCTTGTCTTTTAAATCACAATTAATTATTTTAATAGAAAATATTTATAAAATAAAATAAGCAAATAATTAATTTTCAACACTTTTAGAAAATTATCAAAAATTTTGAAAAATTTATTTTTATTATTCAATTTTCTTTTGTCATAAATGAAATAAATTTCATTAAAAATATTTATTTAAGCTTTAGAAATTATATTTCATAATTAAGGTTAAAATATTTTATGAAAATTATCATAGCTTACATATCATTAGCTCAACTATAATATTATGTTCTTAGATGTATGTATTTATATTTCAATTATATTATATTAAGAATATTATAAGTTAAACATAAAGATCCTTTATTGAAAAATAGAGATAAGTTAAAAAAAATATTACTTAATTTCTATTTTTAATTTGGTATAATGAGGCTTAAAATAGATATGCGAAAAATTTAATTAATTATAATTATTTACCTCATAAATTTTATACTGCTTCTAAAATAAAGGGTTTTAATCAGAATTATGCTTTGTCTACATTAATTAAAAAATTTATAATTTACAAAATTAAATAAAATTTTGATTTTATCCACAAGATTCTGATTGATTTGCTTAACTTATTTGTTTTATTTTAATCACTAAATATCCAAATTAATTTGTTAATAAGATTGATTACTAGTGTGTAATTATTTTCTTTGTAATTATGATAAAAACTTTTCTTTCTAGCTGAAAGATTTAAAATTGCAATCTTATTAAAAATTTGGATAGTAGAATATTTATTGGCAAGTAAGAAAATGTATTTTCGCATATAAGAGCTTATTAAAATCACATTAATTAATTTTTTAAAAATTATTATTAATTAAAATAGTTAAAAACATTACTTTTTCTAAAATTTTCTATTTTTTTAAAGTAAAATTAAAAATCTGCTCACATCCAAATATATATTATAATGCTATTTAGATTCCCATAGAAGTTTATAAAACTATTTTAAATAATTTTGTAAGTAAGTTTATTTGAACTAACATTTTATAAAAAATTTATTTAATTATTTCAATTTAAAAGTTAATGAATCACTTTTTCGCTTATGCTGATAAAAGTTCTATTCCATAAATAGTTTATTAGAAATTCTATTGGCATTTCTGATAAGATATATTTATTACTATTATCTAATAAACAAATAAATAAATGTCTTTTTTGTTCTATACTTTGATTAATTAATTAGAGGTTGATAAATCATTAATAATTTGATTGTTTTTTGATTTACTTTTAATTGATATATAGATAGATATAATAAATACAATAATTAATTGATCGCGTTTATCAACACTTTTTTTGATGGAAGTAGAGAATCTAAATTCTAAAAAATAAGATAAATTTGTAAAGAGAAAAGAAAAAGTAATTGACATTTTAGAATCAGAGGAAAGCAATTAAATTGAAATCCAAGACTTTATAAAAAATAAGTAGATAATTGTGATAGAAGACAATATTTAATTCTCTCCATTATTCATCTAAAGTAATAATGATTCAAGTTTAACATAAAATGCAGAAAAAAATAAAACTAAACCAATCAAAAGTGTTCAAATTTTTAAAAAAATACAAAAGAGATAGAAAAGAATTTAAACTTTTGATATACTAAACCCTGGATTTTCTGAAGATGAGGCTTTAAACTTATTTTAAGGAGTGTAGATAAGTAATAAGGGAATGATTAAATTTCATTTCACAACAAATTAACTTAGCTTTGGTCATTTGTATAATATAAGCCACATAAATTATTTGAAACCATAATAATTAATAGTGTTGGATTACTAATCATAAAAACCAATTAAAGAAATATCTTTAGAAGATGCACTGAATTATTTATCTCACAGTTCTTGTAAGCATTTTTTGTAAGCTTCCTAAGTCTTAAAAGACTTTTATTAAAAGTAAAGGTATCTAAAAAATATACTAGATTCAATAAAAACAGATGAATAAATAATTTAATTGCATAATGAATAACTTGATTAATATATTTAATCTTGCAATCAGTTTATATCAAATTATGCTAAAAAAAACGAAGGCATTATTTTTTAATACTTTATTGCAAGAGTCAACATTGAAAAAAAAGACTCAGAAATAATAAAATTAGGATATTCTAAATCTTTTCTAGATTTGATAGGAATTGATGTTACTAACTTTAGTTCTATGCTTTTAAGAAACCACAAAATAAATCTATTTGCTGATGAAGATGAAATGACGCGACAATCTCTATATGGAATGAATAGTAATTTACAAAAGGATATTCCATTAAAATATATTAATAATATAATCACATTAGACGGGTTTAAACTATAGATTTTCTTACAAAAATAGCAAATTATTCCTGAATATAATTTTATTCCAGTTTCTGGTATCCATTTTGAATATGCTTTAACTATTACTAATATAGATGTAGATGTAAATGACTTATAAAATCTAATCAATTATCGATAAAGATTGGTTTCTCAAAGGAATAACTTATCTTATGACGATTTTATCCAAAGAGAGTTATCTTATTTATTTGAAAATGTAGAGTATTCTGTTCATTCCTCTTCTTTTATGGAGAAATATTATCATTCAAATTTAGAAAATCTCCTTAAATTAGAAGAATTAAAATAATAATAAAACTAATTAGTATATGCCAAGCGAAGCTATTTTAAAATAATAAAAAAACCAAACGATTAACCTTCTAGGATTTGATCAGTTTTTATTCCAAAAATTAAAAAGAATCTCTAAAAAATAAAATGTAATAATAATTAATTATTAAGCCAATGAACATATGAATAGCTTAAAAATGAGAATTGTAATAAATACCATGTTTTCTCATTAATTAAGGTATTTAAAAAATGCTTTATTTCCTTGTTTGTTTTCATACCTTACAGGAGATAAAAAAATCTAAATTAAAATTTTTAACCTTCCTTATTATATTTAAAACTCCTACTGTATAATATAATTTCTGGATAGGCTGGCTTGATTAAATACAAATGATAATCAAAAAAATCAAAGAGTTAACTAATCTTCATGAATCAGTTTATTTATATTTAAATAATAAAATCAATATATTAGTTTATTTTAAACACAATATTTTATTTTATCTAAAGAAATGTTTGTTAAAAAATAAATATAAATTATTCAATTTTAACTAATTGTGTTAAACAAATTATACAAATTAATATTTATTATTTATTTTATTTTTGTGATAAATTAAAACATAAATAATATATTTCGTTTCAGCACCAGTCTCTTTTTATATGGAAATATACTTCTAATCATATTGATCTAAGCAATTGATTTTAGATAAGTCATAAAAGTTTTGTATTTATCTTAATTTCTGTAAAGTTTTTAAAAAAAATATGCTTGTTTGTTAAATACTTCAAATTAATTTAGTAAGAAGGGGTAATTACTTATAATTTCATAGATTTTTAAATAAATAAAATTTATCTAAAGATTCTCTTATTGCAAGATCAAACATTTCAAATATATTAATATTCTATTTAGAGGAGATTTCAAAAAAATGCATCCCAAATGAGTCAGCAATTTATTTTGCTTCATTTTTTGATACCTATCTTTAATCGGATAGATCTTTCTTTAGTCCTATAAGAAAAACAATCATATTTTTTGAAAATTATTATGACATAAATGTTTGTATTCTTTCTTGTAAGTCATCAAATGACTCTCTTTTTGTGATATCATAAGCAAAAATAAGAGTATTAGAGTCTTAATGAAGCTTTTTAATTACTAGTTCATATCTACAAAGATGCTATCTAAAAGAAAAGATCTTTATTTTCAACTTTTAATTATACTAAATAAATAAAAATATAATAAATACTTACATTCAAGATTAATTAATAATAACTATTCTTACATATTCTGTTCTGTAGATATTAAAATCTAAAAGTTTATGCAATTATGTCAATTAAATAAATTCATCATCAATAAATCGCTTAGCCAAAGTTTATTTTCCAATCTAGGGCCCACCATCTATAAAGATTTTTAGTAAGATTTCTTTAGTTTGTAAGTCTTATTTCATTTTACTTTTTTACAGGCAATCTAAGCAAATTTTAATAAAATAAAAATATATATTTATAATAAATTAAATATTTTTTTTCAAATAGATACAAAATAAAAGTTTATTAAGCATTTGCAACAATATTATAAAAACTGACCTATACTAAATTTTGAGTCATATAATATAAATGTATATCAGAGATGGGTAAGTAATTACTTTATATTTCGATACCCGAAAAATTTATTTTATTGAATTTATAAATCAAACAATATTAATTAAATATTATTTATTAGTATAGTTTATATACAATATATATAATTTAATTTGACTTTATCTAAATATATGTTCCTTTGTTAAAAAGATAAAAATTATTTAATTTTAACCAATTGTTTATTAATTATACAACAAATAAAAATTATTATCTATTTTTTTTATTTATTTTAATTTTTATGAATAAATAAATTAAAATATAAAAAGATTTCGTTTCAGACCAGTCTGTCTTTAAATTGAAATATACTTCTAATCTAAGTAATAGTTTTTAGCTAAGTTATAAAAGCTTTGTATATATCTATCTATGTATTTTATTTTTATTAAAATTTAAAAAAAAATAAATTTGTTAACTATTTCAAATTTAGTAAAAAAATGTACTTATAATTTCATGGATTCTTTTATAAATAAAATCTTTCTAGAGATTCTCTTATTGCAAGATCGAACATTTCAAATACATTAATCCTCTATTTAGAAGAGATTTCAAAAAAATTCATCCCAAATGAGTCAGCAATCTATTTTGCTTCATTTATTTATACCTATCTTTAATCAGATAGATCTTTCTTTAGTCCTATAAGAAAAACAATCATATTTTTTGAAAATTCTTATTTCATGAATGATTGTATTCTTTCCTGTAAAATATCAAAAGAGTCTCTGTTTGTGATATCATAAGCAAAAATATGAGTAGTAGAGTCTTAATGATACTACTTAGTTACTACTTTAAATCTACAACCTTGCTATCTATAAGAAAAGATCATTATTTTCAACTTTTAATTATACTAAATAAATACTTAATATAATACTTATATTCAAGATTACTAATAAATATTCTTACTTATTCTGTTTTGTAGATATTAAAATCTAAAAGTTTATCCATATAATTCAATTAAACAAATTCATCATCAATAAATCGCTTAATTAAAGTTTATTTTCCAATCAAGGGCTCACCATCAATAAAGATTTTTAGTAATATTTCTTTAGTTTGTAAGTTTTATTTCATTTTACTTTTTTAAAGAAAATCTAAACAAATTAATTATAATAAAATAAAAATATATTTATTTTTATAATAAATTAATTAATTTTTTTTCAAATAGATAAAAAATAATAATTTATTAACGCATTTACAACAATATTTATAAAATTGACATATATTTAATTTTGAGTTTTATATATATATACGTATAGTACCCTAGAGTACTGCCTTATTTTTCAAGGCTAAAAGAATTCATATTTTGTTAAAATGTTTGGTTTGCAAAAAAGTGCAGAATTCTAGAATAAACATATAAATTCAGTATTAAAAGAAATTATGTGGTATTAAAAAATTTAATTGAAGCTTTTAATAGAAATATTTTAAATAATAATTAGAAAGATGTTTTGAAATATTTAAAAATAAACAGTATTTAATTGCTACAATTATTAATAAGTAAGTAAGTAATTAGACATAAAGTTATTTAGTTAGTTATAAATTTATAATGTTTAGTATTTTATTTTTCAGTATTTATTTGCCTATGGAAGCTTAATATATCTTTTTACTAATCTTTTAATTTTTTATATTTTGTTGAGTAATTTGTAGTTATCTTGATTTCGAATATTATTATTTCTATTTTTTAAAATAATATTTTTTATTAAATTTGCGAAAATGTTTTTTTTATTTTAAATAATATTTATTTAAAAATGGTAATTAGATTCTTTACTATAAATCAATAATCAAAGAGTTGAGTTTCAAACAGCTTTATAATTATTTTAAAAATCCTAAAGCGCCTTAGATTCCAATATTGTTTGACCTTTTGTTTAATATTCAGAATAAGACACATTTAAATAAAATAAAATTAAAATATTAAATTAAATATTTTTTAATTTTAGTTTTGAATTTGATTTAAGTTTTACCAGCAATTGATTAGAAGATTCCTAATACTTCTACTTTTACTAATTCCTTATCCAAAATTAGAAATGCCCTCATCTCGAATTTAATTTTTCCTTATTTAATAATGAATATATATATTTTATTAATAGCATTTGATAAATATTTAATTTTATTATTTACCATAAATAAATACTAAAGTTAGTTAGAGATGTCATTTTACCTATGTCATATCCAAAGCGTGCTATTCCATCATCATCAATTAAATTTTACCTTTTTAATAAAAAAGATTTTAAAATGAAATAGCAGACAGAAATGATAATTAGTATGTTTTTAAGACAAAAGAATCCTTCCTTATTTTAACTCATATTTTATTTATTCAATTAATAATACCATAAGTTAAGAGTAATTTATTTTAGATTTCTACAATTTTTTAATCCTCTTCCTAAATAAGAAATTCCCTTGCCTTCAATTTTGTTATCACTTTAAAATAAAAATATTTTAAAAAACACTTGAAAAAATAAAATTATTAATTTTAAATAGCTAAATATAACTTATAAATATATAAATTAAATGCAAATTCTATTATCAAAAATAAAATAATTGATATCAGTTTAAATGATAGATAATGCAAATAAATGGAAGTAAAAGCCAAATAAATTTAGTTAATAGAAATTAATTACTAAAAATCTAAAGATAAATCTGTTAATTAGTAGCAATTTTCCAAGCTATCTGATAAACTATGAGCTCCGCTTTCGCAAATATTATTTTCCCTTCATATTAAAATAAGATAAATACAAGCGAACAAATGTGTTTTTATTCAATTTAATAGTAAAATAGTTCTACTTTAAATCTAATGTCAAACTCTTTAACTTAGGAATAGTTTTTAATCCACTTCCTAATCCGATTACTCCTTCATCCCCAATTTAATTATTTCTTTTATTTGTGTTTAAATAAAATATTTTACTAAAAGATATAAACTTTTAAATATAAATTAAAGCAAATATATTTAACAATAAATAATAATATAATACCCTAGATAGATGAGCAAAAATTCTAATTAAAGGCAGTTTTCTAATTATTTGCCTAAATTGGATATTCCCTGATGACTTATTTTGTTATTACTAAATATAAAAGAAATTATTAACTAAATACAAACATGTCATTTCTGAAATAGGATAATAAATACGATAAATCTAGTGTCAAAGATGTTATGTTTATACATTATGCTAATCCAATAGCTAAATTAGATGTCTCTTGATCAAAAAGTCTATTGCTACTATTTATAAAGAGAAAATTTATTTAAATAATAATAATTATTAGATAGAAAATAAATTTTAATCAATATTTTTATCGTAAAATTTTGATAAATAAAAAAAATTCAAAATTATTTGTTTCTTTTTTGTGAGATAGTTGAATCTTTTTTGTTACTTTAGAAACTAAATAACAAAGCAATTTGATAAAATATTGATTTCACTCAGCTGAAAATTAAAAATTACAAAAGAACATATATTTTACTTAACATTTTTGTTTGTTTTATTGAAAATGTATTAAAAAAATAATAATTTAAATTTCTATTTAAAAAATAAATAAAAAGTTAAATAAATATGCTATGATTACCTTAAATTAAGTGTCAAAATTCTTATCCTTTAGATACATTTTAACTTTTATACCAAATTTTATATTTTCTCTTATTCAAAAATATTTTGACTTTATATAAAAAAGCATTAACAAAATCATCTTAATGGCTTTATTCTACTTTTAGAAATTCAAAATAAGCTCTTTTGTGTTAAAATTGGTGACTGTTAAGAACTAATTTTAAGATATTCAAATAATAAGAAAACACAATGATTTTGTTTTTTTAAGAATACATTTTAGAACTTATTGTATTTTTTTATTTGTTTCTCTGATTCTACTTTCATTTTCTTTATGTTTTTTCAAATTAATTTGATAATAATGAATATAAAAATTATGAATATGTATATTTATTTGATCTTTGCATTTAATACGAATTCAATCAATAAAAGTAGCATTTATTTAATTTATGTTAATCATTAATTTGTTCTCTATCTATTTTTATTTAATATTTAAGGACTTCCAAAAATGAAATGCAATTATCATTGATATTTTAAATGATTTTTAGATTATTACATAAAATTACAGACTTTACTTTTAAATTCTTATACTGAAGAGCAAATAAAGTATTTAATTAGTTAGCCCTCCACAAGTTGCTAATTAGGTTAAATTAATTAATTAGATTGAATTTAGTAAATTTGATTATACCATAAGTTAAAAAGGTCAGAAGCGCAAACAACCAAACATAAATTATTTACATTTAATTAAATCATTCTTATTAATTCTGAAATTTTTCATTATGCAGGCAATCAAGTTCATAATTAAAATAAATTGTAACCTACTAACTTTAAAATAAAAGCAAGCTAATTAGATAGCAAATAAGTTTATATTATTCAAAATAAATGAATGAATTAAATAAATATTTTAATTTATAATCATTTATTTACATTTCAAATGAAATATTTTTGAAACTTTGAACAATTAATCAATTCTTTAAATTGTTGTAATCTGTGATTTATAATGCAAAAATCCAATTAATAAGCAAAATTTATTTTAATGATCACCAAATTATAGAGTAAACCAATAAATAATTCATAAATATTGCTATCTTAAAATTTAAGATATTATTTTTGTATTTTTTCAAAGCTCAAAAAATATTCATAAATAAATTTATCTATTAATTTATGTATTTATTTATTCATCATAATTTTTTTTTTTTGAAGAAGATAAATATGTTAATTTATTTCTTAAGCAAAACTATCATGCTAATTTTAAAAAATCACTTAGGTTTTTCTTTAATAATATCTATTAAATGACAAATTGTATAGCTTAGCTTCAAATTTAATTGTATATTTTTAAGTATAATTTCAAAAAATAAATTTTTAAGCTTTAAAGCAATTTAATGTAAGGCTTTACAATTTTAGGATTTAGCACATTAAAAATTGAAATAAAATATTAAAGAAAAATAGATGATAAAAGATATACTTTAATTAAAGGAAGGAACTAATAAAATGGATTTTATGCTTTAAAAATTGTAATCAAATTCAAAATTTAATGGTAAAAACATTGTACTTTATTTTTAGCAAAATAAAATCATCTATCTAAAGCAAGTTTTTAAAAACTTGATCAAATAAATATAATTTAATATTAAAAAGCTAAAGTCTTCGAAATTTTATTGGATAAATTTATGTTATTAATTTTTAGTTTTTGTATTTAGTAATAGCGAAAATTGATTTGAAAAAATAGATCGCTAGTGGGAATGAAAAAATTTGATTAATTATTTAAGTCATTAAGTGATTATTGAATTTTATTCCAATGATCTAAACATATTTCATAAGGGAAAAAGTAAGTTAATAAATAAACATTTTTTAATAACTCTCATCTTAAATTACAAACAAATAAACTATTCATTAATTTTGTTAAGATGAATAAGAGTAAAGAAAACTTATAGTCAAAAATTAATGTTAAAAATTATTTATTATTATTAAAAGATAGAATTAAAACATTTTAATAAAATTTAGCTACAAAAAATAACATTAAAACTAGTATTTTTAAGATAAATCTAAAAATAGTAAATAGATAGATAGATAGATACTATTATTCATCACTAAAATTTGATACTGCTAATTAATACATTTTATAATAGAATTTATTCTTTAGATTTTTTTCATAATCTTTTAAAATTATTTTTGAAAAAATTAAAAATATTATTTAAACTAATAATTTATTTTTGAGCTTTCATTTTTGTATGGAGAGTACATTTATATTTTGCAAGAAAATTAATGAGTAAGCGAATTAATAATTAATATGAATCAAAATATTTTTTGATGTCTTTTTCATTTTAAATTGTTTTGTTGTAATAATTTGTGCATCAGGCTTAGGTTCTGGTTTAGCAAATTGAATTAATCTCTCAAATTAAGCGCTTTACCTTCTATAAAAAAAGTTTATTTGTTTTGGATTGTGATATTTTGAATTATAAAAACTAATTAAAAACAATAAAGCTCTTTTTTCTTTTTGTTTTTATTGTGCTTGCTTTTTTTTGTTCTTTCTTTGTTAATTTATTTAGCAAATCCTTTGATTTTCAAATTTTTTACTTTTATTTTTAATTAATTAATTAATCTTATTATTTCATATTTTTTCTTTATTTTTTCCTTGTAATTAACTATTTTATGATATATTTTTTCTTCAATATTTAAAAAGTGGTAATGAAATTGGTGACGAAGGTGCATCAGGCTTAGGTTCTGGTTTAGCAAATTGCATTAATCTCTCAAATTTGACACTTGACCTTTAGTAAAAACAGTTTCTTTGTTTTGGATTGTGATATTTTGAATTATAAAAACTAATTAAAAACAAGAAAGCTCTTTTTTCTTTTTGTTTTTATTGTGCTTGCTTTTTTTTGTTCTTTCTTTGTTAATTTATTTAGCTCATCCTTTTATTTCCAAATTTTTTACTTTTATTATTAATTAATTAATCTTATTATTTCATATTTTTTCTTCATTTTTTCCTTCTAATGAACTATTTTATGATATATTTTTTCTTCAATATTTAAAAAGTGATAATTAAATTGGCGACGAAGGTTCATCAGGATTAGGTTCTGGTTTAGCAAATTGCATTAATCTCTCAAATTTGACACTTGACCTTCCGTAAAAACAGTTAATTTGTTTAGGATTGTGATATTTTTAATTATAAAAACTAATTAAAAACAACAAAGCTCATTTTTCTTTTTGTTTTTATTGTGCTTGCTTTTTTTTGTTCTTTCTTTGTTTATTTATTTAGCTCATCCTTTTATTTTCAAATTTTTAAATCTTATTATTTCATATTTTTTCTTCATTTTTTCTTTCTAATTAACTATTTTATGATATATTTTTTCTTCAATATTTAAAAAGTGGTAATTAAATTGGTGACGAAGGTGCATCAGGCTTAGGTTCTGGTTTAGCAAATTGCATTAATCTCTCAAATTTGACACTTAAACTTAGGTAAAAACAGTTTCTTTGTTTTGGATTGTGATATTTTGAATTATAAAAACTAATTAAAAACAAGAAAGCTCTTTTTTCTTTTTGTTTTTATTGTGCTTGCTTTTTTTTGTTCTTTCTTTGTTAATTTACTTAGCTCATCCTTTTATTTTCAAATTTTTTACTTTTATTATTAATTAATTAATCTTATTATTTCATATTTTTTCTTCATTTTTTCCTTCTAATTAACTATTTTATGATATATTTTTTCTTCAATATTTAAAAAGTTTGAATGAAATTGGTCCAATGGGTGCATCAGGCTTAGGTTCTGGTTTAGCAAATTGCATTAATCTCTCAAATTTGACACTTAAACTTTAGTAAAAACAGTTTCTTTATTTTGGATTGTGATATTTTAA